ACTATTGAATGAGGCAGCAGAAGCATCGCCAATACAAGATGATAGAATACTGTTCAATGAGGCAGGAGAAACAACGTCAATACAAGAGGATGATAAATTACTATTGAATGAGGCAGCAGAATCATCGCCAATACAAGAGGATGATAGATTACTATTGAATGAGGCAGCAGAAGCATCGCCAATACAAGAAGATTATAGAATACTGTTCAATGAGGCAGCAGAATCATCGCCAATACAAGAAGATGATAGAATACTGTTGAATGAGGCAGGAGAATCATCGCCAATACAAGAGGATGATAGATTACTGGTGAATGAGGCAGTAGAAGCATCGCCAATACAAGAAGATGATAGAATACTGTTCAATGAGGCAGCAGAAGCATCGCCAATACAAAAGGATGATAGATTACTGGTGAATGAGGCAGAAGATCTAGAAGCATCGCCCATGCAAGAAGATGATAATTCCTCTTCCTTGTCATCGTCATAAATGATAAAATGTACGTACCAACGCAAGATGATGATACTATAGGACGACAGCAGGAAGACTTGCCGTCATCATCATCATCATCCGATTATTATTATCATCATCATCATCTTAACCATCATCCTCTGGTGCAACTAAAGAATCAAGATTATTAAGTGAATATCATTAGAAGATCATTATAAGTAAAAGCATCATCACCACCAGCTCATCGCCATCATTCATCATCATCATTTTCACCATCATCGCTCTATGGCACAAAGAATCACTAATGATCACTGACGGTTAAACCCATTCATAATTAGAGAGTTTTAGATTTACGTTCACGGCAAACGTGAAGCGTCAGTTGACCAGTGAAAAATTGTTTCAAATTACTGAAAAGGAATCGCAAAAAGTCCAAGTAGTAGAAAAACAAAAGAGTATTTGCGCTTGGTGAGAAAGTTTGCAAGAGGTAAAGTGAAATACAGGAAAACGATGAAAACGTGGTCACGTTTACCGTTTGCGGGGATAAAGAAAAGTCAATCTAAAACTCATTATCTCATTATCCGTCCTCATACGAAGAATAATAATCCATAATAATCATAAATCATAGTAATCCTCTAGTTTATTTATGACAAAGTTTTAAGTAAAATCATCACTTCCACCATGGATATCATCATTATCATCACTGAGATTATTGATAAGAGAAGATAAATTGAGAGTCAGCGAACTAAACGGCATTGTTGTCATTTTATAGCAACAAATCGTGTGATTTTTCATAATTATTTATTGAAGTGAAAGAATCGTGTTATTTTTCATAATAATTTATACGAGTGACCCCAATTATATTTATTTCAAACTGATATATTCCCACTTTGATTTCTCTTTAATTCGGTTACTGAGAACTTCCGCTTGGCCAGCATAAACTACTGCATCTACTTTCTCACATAGTCAAAAGTATTTGTTAGGCTTAAAATAACCTTTGAAAGAAACGAGTGGGGTTGACAGGACGGAAAAGTGGAAAAAAATTCCAATATGTATACGCAAGAGAATATGAAGTAAGGCTGAAAGGGTAAACAGCGAGTTCACCTTTTCGGCGCTAGCCGTCACGGGGTATAAATTGTTTTAGATTGTGTTACGGTCACTAAAAAGTTCGGACATTGTTCTCGAACTTCCGTACAAATGTACTGACTCTAAATGAACTATTTACTTGGTTAATGTTTAGTTAGTTCTCTAAATACAAGTAAATAATCATTTTTCTAGCTTGATTGAAGCTTTTCTTACTGCTGTTAAGATAGCTAACTAAAGAAATCTACCTAAATTTTCTCTTTAAAGTCAGTGAATTTGTATGGAAATCCGAGAACGATGTCCGAACTTTTTGGTGACCGTAGCACGATTCAAGCCAGCGCCGAAAAGGTGAATTGCGATCGGTGATTGGCGATTGCATGACCGAAAGGCACGGTGGGAATACTTCTAAACAGGAATGATCGCTATATGATCGCTGTTTTTTAAATGTTTTTTTTTTGTGTCTAAAAACAACATTAAATATCTCAACAAAAAACTCTGTGCTATTGACGAGATTAATAGTAGTTATAAACATCAGTATTCCAGCTATTATTGGAGCTTGGAATGGATCGCTTCTTACCTATCACCGTTCGCTCCTTCAAGTCATTTGATGAATAGCTGTATACGTGAAATGGATATTGGAAGGGAGGGGAAGGGAGCGCAAAGAAATCAATCAGCCGTCGGCTCTGCTTCCTATAAAAAAATTCCAAAATCCTCTGCATAACCATGACACTTCAGCTCCCACTCCGTCCCACACACAAATCGGTCCGCGTAATTTCCTCATAATACCAATAATTTTCCCACGCTCGGCGAATAACTCTCCACTAATTTATATTTTTAAAAAATCATTCAAATTTCAAATTTGAAACAAATTCATGGATGAACGACAAAACGAGATAATAAAAAATGAATGATAAAGTAAAAATTTATTTATGGGGTCATGTGTTGAGGACCAAAAGGAAGTATAAAGATCTTAAAAACGACACGGTTTTGGGGGGCATTTGAGTAAAATAAAGGGGTAAGGCATATTCAACTCCCCCGGCTTTCTCAATCTGGTCTCAAAAGTAATATATTTAAAATATAGAATTYGTTCCCTAAATATATTTAACTATAAAAATATCTTTTTGTCTGATAGACTTGTCCTCTCCACTCTTTGCTGTTGATCATGATAAAGGCTTGAATTTGGAAAGTAGAAGCGGCTTCTCTTTGGCCACATGTAAGACTTCAGCCGGCCGGCCAGAAGCCATTATTTTTGTCATTTCGCTAGTGACATTTATACGTATGAATAGCGAGAAATGAAATAATTAATATAAAATGCAAGAAAAAAAATAAAAATCAACGATTAAATCAATACAAAATAAGAATAAAAAACCTTTAGTTTTATCTTTGGAAGTCACGCAAGAAAAAGCGCGGGCATTCATCCGTATTTGAGCCCGCAAATGCTAAAATTCTGCACAAAAAAGATGCGCGCGCAGCATTTTGCCGTGATGCATCTCGGGAAATTTTACTCTATGAGCGTTTTTAGGCCGCCATGATGGATCCGAGAAATCGAGATCCGAAAAAGAAAACACGCTTAAATTCGTCTTAGATGACAATTTCCCCCAATAATAACCATAAAATGTTTTAGAACAATATTCGAAGTGTAAACTACGGACATTATTTGGTCCTGCATGTTTTGTGCAGTGTCGTAGATTTCGAGTTTTGAGTGCCGCTTTCGGTGAAAGGAATCATCAAAGATGAGTAAGTTGTCGTTCAGAGCTCGCCAGCTCGATGCCAACAAGGCTCTTCCAGTCTATCAGTCTGAGGAATTGCCGGACTTATCGGAATTCAGCACAATTAACCGGGCAGTTCCTCAGATGCCGACTGGAATGGAGAAGGAAGAGGAATCGGTGAGTAATTGACTTTAATATTATGCTCATTTCTTTGTAAGAGTTTGTGTACAAAGCTCATGTGCTGGGATAAATCGATTATTGCACGATTAGCTCGAAAAATGCAGATGCATTTGCTGTACGTGGATTGCATTTGATGTGCTTATTCTCAAATACAACCATTTTCAGGCTCATTGAAATCGACCTCATTCACGTGATCTTGATGCCTAGACCCGCCATTTTTGAATCACTTTACGATCGGGGCCGGATTTCTATGTTCGATTTAATTCTTATTTAATTTCTAATGTTTAATACTCTTTCCGTAATCAAAGTCACTCTATGCACGAGAAACGCAAAGCAATAGAAAGAGTTTTCATTGATGAAGTTTCTAGTAGTAAGGAGTAGTAGGATCCAAAACTCGTAGTACCGGCAAGTTGAATAAATTTCACCGAATTTATGTATATTTTGGGTCCATTTTACCAAGGTTTTTACGATTCTGATGTGTTATGAATGTGAATTTTTTCAATTGTGAAAGCAGTGCCATCCTAATTTCTACATTTTACTACTCTGTAGTACTAAACTTCTACATTAATCTTGTTCTAGGTGTTTGTCAATGTTGTTTATTACTTAAATGCATACAGTGGAATATAGTTATCTTGAATCCCAGTTATCTTAAAATTTCACTTATGTCCAACTTGAGGCTGTGTCCAATTGACTTGTGTCACTAATGACACTGTACAGATATGTCCAACCCCTGATTTCTTGATGGTTTAATTTCCTGGTCCCAGGAGGTTCTTCCAGATAATAAAACTTTACTGTAATTTTATGATGAAGGTGTCTAGGTTCTTAACTTTTATTTTTCATTTAGAGTGAAGGCATTTAACCCATGAAATAAAAAATACTAGTCAATCTTTAATAGTCAAATAGACACAAAAGAAGACAATGAAATTAGGGTCTACTAATTTGTATTAGTCTAATACCTATTTCACAGGTTTCATGACTTCACTCTATTATGCAATAAATTATAAGTATTTTTTTAATTTTTTAAAAGTTTCAAAGTGGTATACGGTTGGATTAATAAAACTTTAGCCGCTCAGATTTCAAAACTTGTTCTCAAATTCTGAAGTTAGTACAGGCTTGTGAACTACAGTGTGAACTTGGCACAATGAACCTTGACTTGTTTACATTTAGAATTCAAAAATTTACTGGAATTGCGTCTTTAAACCAAATACTCTTTGAAAATCGTATTCCAGACAACTCATAGAGTTAAATTTCTATTGTTGGGGTGATTCAATTCATTTAGAAAATTGACTTTGAACAGTAGATTTGATAAGTTTTTGAAGCTACAATATTGTCAGTTTGAAAGCTCGCTAATCGAATTCACTTCGAAGTCCTGAAGTTCCTACCAAGCGGGAACTTGCGATCTTGCACGAAATCAACTGTAACTGAGATAATACTTAAAATTGACCAAATGGGTGGATCTTTAGAATACCCCACAACTTATCTTACATGTTAAGAATAAACTATAATTGAAGTCAAGATTCATGATACTTGGACTGTTTGTCTCTGAATTTTTGAAACATTTTTACAGACACCAACATTAAATTCGCGTGCCCAAATGCCAACGGCACACTGAAGAAGATTCATGGTCACAAATTGAAATTTCTGTAAAAATGTTTCAAAAACTCTACAATGTCACTGGTTAAGTTTTGTGTGTTCACACTGAAAATTATTTTTTTTGCTGCAATTTTTTGAATAAGTCGGTCAAATTGTTATGTTGTGTTTTGAACAGGAACATCATCTACAGAGAGCCATATCAGCACAGCAAGTATACGGAGACACTCAACAGCTTGTTATTCCTACTCCTGATAGTGAAGAATTGAAAAATATTCCATGTCTAGTTCGGAATAACTTCAAACAACCCAAACAGTACATTCATGTACAAGGTGTGTATGTATGAAGAAAGAAGGAGAAATTTTGTTGAGGATCCTGGGGAATATATGGAAGGGTTTCATGGTTGCCATTGTGGCGTAAAACATCTTTATTCTAAGCTGGGTTGACCTTCAGTACAAACTCAACCAATCAGATTTGAGGATTTGACAGTGTAAAAGTAAAGTAGGGCTTGTGATAATGGATGGGCAGTTGCCGCAGTCATGAACACTGGCCAAATTAAAGCCGTCCTTTTTTCACGAGGGTAGCACTTAATAGCCATTGGCTAACAAACCTGTGGCCCTCATTCCATGATCGAATTGGAATTTAGGAGTTGATTTTTGCAGAGGGAGGAAAACCAGAGAACCCGGAAAACCCTCGAAGCACAGGAGAGAACCAACCAACAACTCTACTCATATACAACACCGAACCCTGGGGGACTCAAACTCAGGTCGCATTGATGAGAGGCGAGCGCTCACTGCTACACCACCCGTTCTTCCCTAAAATTCATTTTAGCTTGGTCATAGCTCATTTATGGCTCAATTTTACTAGTCAAAATAACCAGCAAGGTGTTGTTTTGACCAGAAAAGTTCCAATTCTGGCCAGTCATAGTTTTATGACTGACCATTATTTCGAGCTCTGGCAAATGCTCATGCTTATAATACTATTTTTTAAGCTGGATATATTTGTTTGAACTAAGAAATAATTATATCATTAATATTTATTGTCATCTGTTGTAATTGCATTACTTTAGCATATGGATTGAATGAGGATGTTCCTGAGTATGACTTGGACAGCGAAGATGAAGAATGGCTAAAGGGATTCAACAAGAAAAAAGTAAAATAGATTTGTCTTGAATAGAAAACTTGTATTATGGCATAATTCACTACAAATACTAAAATCCCTTGCTTGCTTTCTTTTGTTCACTTCATTTGCACCAAATTGTCTTAATATCATCATGGGGGAATAGAGTGCAAACAATATATCCGTTAAACACTAGTTACTAAATTGTTCAAAATAGTGCTAGTTGATCAAAAGAAAACAATAGAATTAGCATAAAATAGTGTAACTTAGTATTACTAATATTTCATGGATTTCACTGGTTTTCCATATAATATTACTCACTCGCTTGTGGACTCACTCATTCGTGATATGATATGGAAACTAGTGAATAAAAACAATATCAAGCTCTAAGAATGTGATAATCTCTATAAACCTAGCTGGTGGGCTGGATAACTGGTTTTGAGCAACTCAGAGTATAATGAAGAGTCTTCTCTGAATTTTTTTTACTGGATATCAAATTATAATTATGTATAATAATATTAATGTAAATAATATGCAGCAAATATTTGACCTGAAATTGCCCTATTTAACTATTATTCGCTGAAGGTGAAGTGAATATCAGGGAATATTTACCGAGATGCGAGTCTTTGAGCAGTGATGTAAATATTCTTCGATATTCATTGAGCCTGAGGCAAATAATTGTTTTAGCATAAATAAACAGGTGATTCTTTCAAAAAAAGGAAAAAAAAGAAGATAAAAGACATTTTTTCCCGGTAACAGCAACGAAGCGAATTTTGGATTATCGCTGGGGTGATTATCATGTGATAGTGCAATTTTTACTAATTTATCCTAACATTGCATGAAACAGTCTTTTGTTTTAATGATAAAGTGAATTCTGAAGTCTATTAACATCATCATTATAACATTATTATTGTTTTGTTTTAGGAGATTCTTTCAGCATTGCAGTTGGAATCAATACTTGATAGACTGGAAAAAGGAATGGGAGCTCAAGTAAGTATAAAAAATGTCGGAGAAAAGTAAAAAAAAAAAAGAATATTTGTTTAGGATTTGTATTTTCTTTCCCATACAAATCCTTATTAAATATATAATTGTAGTATAATATTAGCCTTGAATATAGAGTTTCTTGTCCTGTGATTAGTTGAGCAACCAGTGATTATGAGCTGATATATTCACTTTGTATTGTTGTTAAATATACACTAATGTAATACCATTTCTTATATAGTCAACATTATGAGCTGACACTTTGCTTTCTTACTAATATAGAGTTGCTCTCTTCATTTCTGATTTTCATTTGGACACAGCTACAGTTTTTTAAGGGGGGGGGGGGTCATGTGGCTTGTTAGTACAAGTTATTCATTTAGATTTAGATTCATTTGCAAAATAATTAGACAGGCCTGATATCTTGTACACTGAACATAATTTCACTATTTTCTGAAACATTCCAGGGCTGTATGTCATATGGTGATGCTAAAGCCCTACTCCAAGAAAATGAAGATCTAGTCAAACCGGTTTATGAATACTGGAGTAAGAAGCGGGAAAAGCTAGATGACCCTTCTGTTTCTCTTATTCCTCAAGTGAGAGGAGAAAAACGGGATGGAACATCGACAAATGATCCGTATGTGGCCTTTAGACGAAGAACAGAAAAAATGCAGACAAGAAAGGTTAGCTGGAAATATTTTTATCTTCTCAAAATTGTATTAGAAAGGTTTTTCTTATGAGTGTCAAATTGATAGAGAAGACAAATCAGAGCAGTTTTCGTATCACTGTAGAAAGCTTAGTGCTGTATGCGTGCCTTGCCGTGATGGTTTTCTCTAATCTTAATTGGCTGATTGTTTTCTCGTGCAATGTGATTGGTCTGGCAATGTTGTGACCTTGGTGTGGGCGTGTCCGTGCCATGTCCATGCCATGTTCTGGCAATTGATTGGATGGAGAGTAAATTTTTGCGCAATGTGATTTGTCTTGTCGTTTCTTGACTGTGTTTCTGCCTCAAGCTTTGAATCACAGTCATCACGAAAACTGCTTTACTGTACCTAGCACAAATGTTTAGACAACAATTTTATTTTTTCATGAAATCAGAATCGCAAGAATGATGAAGCTGGTTATGAGAGAATGCTCAAGCTTCGACGAGATCTCAAGCGTGCCTGGTCAGCATTTTAGTTTATAATTATTGATATTTCTACTTGGAAGCACCTCTGGCTGAAAGTTCACTTTCTTCAGTAAAGCTGCTATTTTTGTTGTTGTTGTTGTCGTTGTCATCCTACAGTAATTGGCTACCTGCTGTTTTGTTTCCCAACCATATTACTGACTTTGTGATGATGAAGCAAATAAACCATACCCTTGAACTACTTACTTTAAGTAATCAAACAGATAGTTGCTAAACAATAACCAATACCTAACTACATGAGTTACTGACCTTCCTTTTTTAGTACTATACTGGACATGGTGAAGAGAAGAGAACAAACCAAAAAGGATCTGCTAGAATTGACTGTTGATGTTTTTGAGAAAAGGTAAATACATGTAATGCAAAGGCTCAGACAATTATTAATTACAGCTTTTTCATGGAGCGTTGCTGCCAGCGTGTGTTGCTTTAAATCAAGGAATGCTATCCAATTCTGGCCAGTGATATAATAAGATTTTATTGGCTGGAATCATGCCATTGACAGCAATGTTGCAGTTTACATTTTACAATAGATAGATAATTGCAGATGTGGACTTTTTGCAATTTTCTGGTTGATTGCAACGCTGTACATGACAATTGCATCTTATGTCCCTGAGACCTTAGAATTCAATAACGAGAGAAGCTACTGTAAAGTGGAGTTAGGGCACACTGGAATTGAGATCTACGTTTAGGTGGCTTTTTGGTGGCTTAAAGACTGTTGCTAATTACTAAAAGAAAAGAAAAATTAAAAGTTTCTCTGTCAATTCAGGTACAGTTCTGAAGACTTCACTGGTCAAATCCTACAACAGTGCCTAGACTTAATCCGATATCAACCACCAGCAATCAATCTTACTGTACCATCTACTGTGCAAGGTGAACAGCTCACTCCTGGGTCTAATACTGATGCACATAGAGATATAGAACTGATGAGGAAACGAAAACATGTAAGTACCATTAATACCACAATTAATGTAAATTTTCTTGCTTCCTGATTGGTCGAGAGCCGTGGTAAATAAGGGGACATACCAACAAATTACTTTAAAAAATAACAAATCACTTGAGCACTGAGCCAGCGCTCAGCTATGCCTTGTGAGTACATAACATTTTGACATCATTGTAAATACATGTACAAGGACAAACCATGCGAAACCATTGGAAATTTGTTAAATGATCCAGGTTGCCATTATCTGTAGTTGTTACTTCGTTATGAAAATAAAATCAAAGGTTTTCGATAAAAATTACTGAGTCAATTTTTTCCTCTAGGAGGAAAGAGCACATTTACACAAGAATGATTACATTGAAGCAGGGTAAGTTTAGATCAAGAATAGGGAATCGAGGGTGGTGCAGTGTGAGTTTTTTGTTTGGATTCTCTGGTTTTAGTCCCTCCACGAAACCTAACAAGCTACCAACATGTTTTTTTTTACATATTTTTATTTTTTTACATCACTCCCCATATGGGGCTCTTCCATGAGGTTCACTCCACATATACTGCAGTACCACTGCATTCTCTATTTAGACATACAACACTCAAACTCAAATGTTAATTCTTAATGAGGGAGGAAGATTCGAATTCAATCTGTGAATAGCTATGACTTTGATCAGACCTACAGAGGTTGTTTCATTTTTCAGCTTTGATGACCACTCATTTTGTGTTCTTTTGTGGTTTCTCATTTTAGACATAAACGACCCAAGGGCTTTCATCATCATGCCAAAATTGGAAACCAAGTGCCAATGGAAGGAGTACATATGTTTAGTGATGAGGAAGAGACTGGACAATTATCACCTACACAGGTATGTATATATATATGCATGTCACTGTATACACTCTTTTTATCTGATAAAAAGTACTTAATTTGTATTTAGTGAATTCTTTTTCTTGGAGAAGAGCATCAAAATTTATCCTGTATCTCCAAACCTTTTCCTAAAGAATCTATCAAACCATTAACAAAAAAAAAAAAAAGAGAAGCAATTGTCTCTCCATTTTGGAATACAAAAACTAAGTTCAATATTTGGTTCACGTAAATATGAACATTGGAATAGGAGTCTCTGAGGAATCTAACCACTACATAAAATCTAATATGCAGCTCGTAAAGTCCTCCGCTGGTCATAAATGTAAAGCGCATGAAGATATTTGAAATGTGCTATACAAGAAACTCCCATTATTATTATTTCTCGGACAAGGACTTAAAACTGTAGGCCCCGTCTGTCTTCACTATACAACCCTGTATAAGGTGGACGTAAAAGATCCACTGAAGACGCTGGTGACGACCATCTTCAGTGCCCGTGCTAACCGGCTGCCTTATCAATTGGGTCRCCAGGCCTGTTAGGCATCAAGCCATCCACCCAGGAGTGGTAAACGTATTAGATTAGATTAGATTAGATAAGTGGTAATTTGATCAAATGTATGTGTTTATTTACTCTCAGCTGGAATTGCCATCAGAACCTGAAGAAGATGAAGAAGATCCTGATGGTCGCTATGCTTTTAAACGAAAGAAGGGTGTCAAGTATCTCCCAGTAAGACCTGCTCTTAAAATCACTTTGAATATATTCTTTGTATTTATGTTTGTAAGAAGTAGGGAGAGCAATAGAATAGATTGTATTGTTTCTTAATGTTCATGATTTGTTCAAAGCTTACAATCATGCTCGTTATGATTATTTTCCATGAGCATAATTATTGTTTATAGTTCCGACTCAGAAAATAGTGAACCAATCACTGTTGCAGGAGTTTTCTCAGTGGAATTAAAATCTTGTTCCACAAACAACCACATTTGGTTTTTAAGAGTGCTACAAGGATTACGAGATTTCCATTGTTTTCTCAGGACATAAAACAATAGAAGCAATTTATGATTTATTTTACACAATCAGAGTTTTAAAATCTGAAATATTCTAGCTATGTTGTTGAGCTTGTGGGACAACGGTAACAAAGGGGAGTCGGAACTATGAATATTGGTTAATGAATCCTTGTTTTGTCCTTTCATGATTTGTACAAAGCTTGTAATCATGCTTGTTTTGAATATTATATTATGTTATTATATTAAAATATAATATTGGTTAATGAATCATTCTTGTTTCAGGCTCGGCTCGACTCTCCTTCCCCATATCCGTGGGTAGACCCCGCGGAGGGTGGTCTAGGAGACAAGAGATTCCGGTACAACTGTACGTCAATATCCAGACCCAATGGGCTAATAGGATTTGCCAGACGGAGAATAGGACGGGGAGGAAGGTAAATACTACTTTTTAAATATTGTAAATCCTCTATCGAGTCTTCTAGTGCCCTTATTTATTACAGGCATATTTTTATGGGGCTGGGAGAGTGAGGTTATTCCCATGAGAATAAACATGGCTACTGTGTGAGTAAGGCCCATGGGTTGTTGTGGGCTATAATATAAGCCACCTCACACTTTTGTCTGCCATTATGAATAAGAACAAACACTGCAAAATATATAGAAATTTTGATCACTTTGATTTTCCGTAACTATGCTCAATTTTGGTGATGCGCATCCCTTCTCATGAGAAAAAAGGGACAATATATGTGGCTGCCATGTTGTTTGGCAGAAAACAAAAGTCTAAATCTTTGTCAAAGTCATCCAAAATGACGTCACCCCAAGGAAAAACACTTGCAACATATGTTAATTTTCTTTCTGTTGCTTTTTTCTTCAGAATATATTTTGATCGAGCTTGGACGCCAGCATCAGAAAACCTCGAAGATTTTGAAACATTATTAAATGCATCTATGTCATCGTCTCTGAGTCTACCTAATGGGTTCTTTCCGTATGACCATCTGACGGGCTGGAAACGGCTGACAATGTAAGCACCATGCCTCATGTAATAAAGGTTTTGCACCATCACGTGACGACATCCAATGATACAGCTGAGGCTGCCTGTAGTTAGATGGCAGAGTAATAAAACCCCTTTACTCTTGGAAATTAAATTCTTTGTAAAGTAAAACGATTGTAATGTTCCTGCCATCTAACATGTCTGCCATCGTGTAATGGTGCAAAACCTCTATCAACTAAATTGGCATAAGGTTTACCATTTCAGGCCACTTGTCATTCCCTTGAGAATCAGATTCTAACTGAACCGTATCCATATTCATGTGTCAATATTCATATCGAAGAAATGATCCTCTTGTGAGTGACACGTGATCTGAATTGGAAGAAGATTATGTCATAGCTAATCTGGTCTATTGTTAAAGCAACTAAATCCCAACTAAAGCACAAAGGTTTATGGCACATTATCCCACACCATTGAAAATACAGCCAATCAGATTGAAGGACAGCCGTTGTATATATAGCAGTATTCCACTTTTTCTTCTCATCAGGCATAGCTCTCAAGGTATTTTCAATGGTCTAGGAGAAAATAACATATGAAGTTAAAGATGTGACTGAATTAAGTTTCTTCACGCACATTTTTCTCAGAAAGGTTGAAATTCCGAGCTCCAGGCGGGATTCAAAACTGTATCCTTTCCTTTTTCAAACCTTTTTGCTAGTCAGACTCCCTAAAAATGCTTAAAACACTATTGAAAATCCTTTGATATCGTACAAAACACCTTAATAGTTATACGATACGGTGACAAACCATGGAATATCTTGGTATACACACTCACCTGAAGGATACAAAGTGCCTTGTGCACATTACATGGCATGCCACTCAATATCTTTGTATAACTAATATACATTGATTGACCCAGTATCTCCGCCTATGAAACTCTGAAGCAAATAAATTTTGATTGCCAGCAGTTTCAGCTGCAACAACAGCTATAAAGAGCAATATCTATTGTAAAGGTTTCTTTAGTGTGTGCGTAGGGGGAGAGGGACAACGTAATGTAGATGAAATGATCCTATCTCACTTTCTCTTTCTCTCATCTTTATAGACCTCACTATCGACCAAAATCTCCAACCAAAACCACGTCGAGTCCGTCACCTCCGCCTCAGCCTTCATCATCACCGTCCAGTGAAACAACACCGGGAATTCAAAGCACTTCGACTGGTCAGCCAAGACCTCGACTACATCGGAGCTTTTCAACGCAACCACGATCCAAATTCTCATTGAATACCTCTCCGACAAATGGACTTATAGGAACAAATTTATCTCATTCCAATCTTACATCACACGGAAATGGAATTACTCGCAATTCACTACCCAATGGACCTGTTGTTTCTCAAAGTAGTTGGCCTGCAATCGGCCCATGGACTAGTAGCAGTACTTTAAGTTCTACTCCCAATAAAAATGTCTACTCGACTGCCCCTATTAAGGCGGTTTATGCATTGAACTTTCCTCTCAACTCGAGCACGTCGAGCCAGCTATTGTCCAATAGTCTTGTTCGTGGCAATGCACCGTTTTCACCGACATCAACGAATTCACCATCGTCATCGACTGCAAATAAATCTTCCAGTTTGACAAATTTATCGAATGCTAACAGGTCAGTGACTTTATCCTTTTAATCTCGATAGACCTCTTTAGCATTGGTGTAATGTTTTCTCAGTTCAGACCACGGTTGCGCATGATATGAGAAATGACATGAATATGGACACAACTAAACAAAGAATCTCATTCTATAGAGAATGACACGTGACCCGAAATGGAAAACATTACGCCCAAGTTTGATTGCTCATGAGGGTGTTATGGGTAGATTGCAAATACTCCTAAAAGAATAAATAAAAAATAGTTAAACCCCCTCCCTCCCCTATCACTTATTGTTTTAGTCAAATCCAACTAGTCCGTCAAAGATGTAGATGCTAATAAGTTTGAAATGAAAGTTGAATTTAATGTTTTGGTTTTCAAAACCGGGACTTTTCGCTACTAGTAGTAGATCATCCAATCAGAACGCAGCATTGATGATAGACCACTAGTTGGATTTAACTAAGGATAGCATAGCCCACTTCCGAGATATGCTTCGCTTATCACGGGCTAAATTAAATTCTTTTCTTTTGTCACGATTCAATTACTGAGCATTATGCACGAAACCTCATATTGAAACTTTTGTGCGTCACAAGCGAAGCATATCTCTGAAGTTCTCAGTTCTCAGCTCAGCTGGTAGAGCATCGGTAGTACAATACCGAAGGTCGTGGGTTCGATTCCCAGCGAGGTCGGAAATTAATTTTCCGAATTTAATTCCAAGGGCTTTCGCAAGGAATAACCTCGTTCCTAAACACTATAACTTATCTATATTTCTATATCTTCATGTATTTTTCTTTATTTCTTTCTGCAGCGAATTAGAAATTAGCATCGGAAGATCAGAAGTACCATTCAAAAGACAGAGCAGTATCGATGTCGTCAATGCTACGTGACTGATACAAATCAATCCATTTTTAAAGTTTACAAATTCACTTCAATACGTACAGAATGGTTTGGCCTACAGGACCATGAGTACTGCTAAGAACATGGAACACACGTACTTATATCAAATCTGTATTTATTCGAAATTTTGTTATCAAGAAAATGCAAGAAAACGCAATATAGTTTTAAGAAGAGAATTTGAAAACGTAGGAACACACAGTGCTTAGTTTAATACCTAGAACAGACTGTCAGGGTGTTACTTTCAAATGGCTTTCCTTTGTTCGCATCTGGAGATTTGGTTGGATCTCAGAAAAGCCATTTCAAAGCCAATTCCTGCGTTTCATCAAGGTATAGTAGTTCTACAATGCACAAATTGTTCATAGAGCGTTGCCGGCAATTGATTTATTTACTCGAAGCCCTGGACTATTTGTAGAAATTATTTTTAATCCTCATTTATTATTTTTCTTCTTCGTTTCTAAAATTAACTTTGCTAACTCTTTGAATAATATCAATGCTTGGTATTCAAGATCGCATTAAAATGAAAAAAGTAGAAAATATTCATATCCATACGTATTAATCCTTGAGCAGTGCTCATCGTCCTTGCCATGTCTACAAATTTATCGTCCGAAAATTATGGAATTGCGCATGCGTACCACTTTGCTGTCATCTACAAAATTCTTTGGACTGGAAGAATAGTTGCTAAAAGGTTGTGACGTCAAAGCAGCTCCATCTTGGGGACAAAATCAAAGAATTCCAAATCTGAGAATTAGAACCTATTGTTTTGTCTTCCAGATTGAGCTGCATTACAAAGTGCTGCAATGGGTCTATAGAGCTGGATAGAAAAAAGAAGTCCAATAGATTGTGTCTACTGGGTAATGAAATGAAGTTATTGGTCCATGATCTTATATTTTGTCGCGCTAGTCCAGATTCTTTTGTCCAAAGATTTACCTCTGGGTAATCCATTGCCAATCTCTGTAGTCTGATAAATGTAAAATGGCGGTGTTTTATTTCATGCCATTCACTCTTTCAATTTTCAGTAGCCTTACATTCAGATTGAGCCTCGTAGGCTGTTTTTCCTGCTTTTCCTAACAGTAATATGACCGCACTCACTGCCGCAAATCCACCATTATATCAAATGCCTCATTTCCATTTTGTATTATAAAGCATTTTTTTGTGCATCCTCACTGTATGTGAATTTGTTTTGTACATTTTTTAAAAGGATTTCGTGCATTGTCAGTCTGTCTCGTATTTTGAACTATAAGATCAAAGCACCACGTGGGGGTTGCGATAATACAGATTTTAGCTCATTTGGTTAGCTTAGAATTTAATACCATTAGCTCTTCATTGCCCCCATTTAGTTCATTTGCCACTGCCTCGCCTTCAAGTGCATATATGTAAATTTCGTACAAAACACCAAGAAAAATATTAAATACAAACAAAAATAGTCGAAAATGGCTGGATTTAAGGTCTAGTTTTTATCTTTATTTATTTACAGTTTGTGCCAGGAAGAAAAGACCGAACTGTACTAAAATAATCGCAATGTATGTCTGGTCTTGTATAGTGCAAAGTGAATGAATGAATGAATAAATAAATGAGCGCAACTTTCAAGGCTCGCAATAATATACTAATAGGCCAAATATATTTTATAACGGTTCACATCAAGATAACAAAATACGATTCAACAATGGACCGATTTTTGCCTTTATACTACGATAACGTATTTGTGTTTAATAAACCACTTCCTTCAACGAAAAGTAATATTGTGTCATTAGCTGTGTTGGAATGGGATAATCTCGTACCCAGAGCCTGTGTTTCTTCTGGACTGCTGCGAAGAACGAAGAAACGCAGGCTCTGTAGGGAGGAACATAGTTAATATTAACTATGGGAGGAATCAGTGCTCTGATCCAAAACCGCGCATGCGTGCAATCCTACATGATTACGTTTCATACCAACTAGTCTGAGTAGTATATGAAGCAGCAAATGTCTCCACATATTAGTTGAGTATCAGGCTTTCAAGGGGAGGGCTTTTGTTTTGCACTGTTAGATGCCCGAATCAGGAACTAAAAAAGCACTCTTCATTGGCCCGTATTGAATAAATTTCCCATTCGTCTAAAACTTGTAAGGCATTGGTCATTTTATTAAGTTAGGGATTCAGAAGGGTTATTTCGAATTTGAGGGGGCACCAATTTTCATGCAAAATTTAGGGACGGGGGGTTTCAAAAATGGGGGTTATTTTATATTTATACCAAAACTGATGTTATAATACTCAAAATCCACATAGCATCCCCACCCACCCCATTTCCAACCCATAAATCATGAACAGTCCCTAAAGTCCCCCCTCCCTCTCCTTCCTAGATTTCAGATTTTTACTTTTAAGGGGCTTGCCATTAAGACGCACTGATCGGTCCGAGCATCCAGTTCTAGGAACTGAAACATACCAACTGAGAATAAGTTGGAGTTGCCACGCATGATAAAAAGTATAGTTTGCTATGCGCGCAAACTCCAGCCTCAACTTGGAACTATTTTTATTGGTCACTGAAAGGAACTGTAAAATGATAAGGGGTATTTAGCCGCTTTTTGGCTCCCCGCCACTCGACTTCCGCTACATATCTGCATTCTTCACGTTTGCGGGCTTCCTGTGGTGCTGTTCAGCGAAGCCTTCATTTCCCAAAATGGCGGACAAGACTGAGGTAGGTCAAATTATTAGAGTTATAAACAGCTTTCTTATGGATCTTTTCATGCAGTAGTTTTAATTTTCTCTATGAATTTTTCATTTTATCATTTTGAATATAGATTAGGATTATATTTTTTATTATATATTTTATTTTCTTCACACGCGAGAGACATTTTCGTTTTTCTTTCATTAGTGGTTCGCTTTCCTTTCTCAATATAGTTTGGTCTTAAGCTTATGTATTTTCATTTCTCTGTCATTCATTACATATATGTATAATAATATTATGTTTGTTGTTTTTGAAGCATTTGGGCATTTATAAATATTGAATTTGAATTTTTTCAGTAGTTGGAAGCTTTTGTATTGTGAATTTTAATACTGCGGACGGGCTCTACTAGCTCTCTATATATTCAACACCTTTTAGATTATTAGAGTGGATTAGACTAAATAGAGTGGTTCCATTACTGTCATATTGCAGGGCAAAATAAAAGAAAATCGTCTTCAATCTCTGATCTTGTCATGCAAAAAACTGCATTGTTCCTTTCCTTTAACATGTCTGCCACGAAACTTCAATATAGTCAGGCATTGTATGCAGCTTTGTATTTGTATGCAAAATCAGCGAGTTTGCATTCTTGCGTTGTGGTAAAAAGACAACCTTTTTCTACTTTCTGCAATGCTATGCAAGGACCACAGGGCTTATGGGGGACCCTGTTACACATTCGCCATAGATGAAGTCTTGCAGTGCAGTTTTCTCTATTGCAAGCAATGTTGCATTCAACATCACATGTTAATAATTATATGTCACATCTTATAATTATTCCTGTCATGTTTTTCCTTCGTAAACATGAGTCTGCCCCGATTTAGCTGTGCTATTTGTGGGCTCATGTATTCTATTGTATATTGCATTAAATTTTATGAAATAAACTGTAAACTATAAACCTTTTCTTCTAGATGAAACAGTGCTATTTAGGACCCTAAAGGTGCTGGTATTAAATAGTAGCTATAAGTTATAAGAGCTATTTACCCCCCTAAAGTCAGTCCAGATATAGGAACAAACTGTGCCCTATCTTGGTCCATATATTCAAGACCTTGGAAACAGTTTTTCCCTATCTAGACCTCCTGACCGGTTTTAATAACAGATATTTCAGTCAGACATTAGTTAATTATTTATTCTGTAATCAAAATATTCTACTTTTAAAGGATAAAAAAGAAGAAGAGGATGAAGAAGAATCAGAAGAAGAGGAAGAGGAGGAACCAAAGCTCAAATATGAAAGATTGGGAAATGCAGTAAATGATATCCTGAAAGGAAAGGAGTGTGCAAGCTGTATGGCTGTACATTCAAAGGTAAGGTGTTCCCTCGCAGAACAGTGACACATTTGAAGAGGTTGCATAGCTGTTATGTTACCAAAATAATATATATATATATATACACTCAATTGCAGAAACGTTGTAGTATACATTTATACATTTATACAAATAACTAATGAGATGCATATTGCAATTTTACTTTTTTAACCCTCAAAACCAATTGATTTATAATCTGTAGGATATAAAACACAAGAANATACACCATTTTTGATATAGCAAACATGGTGCATAATTGGGGCCAAACTTCAGTAAAACAACTTTATTTATTCATATTTAAACATGTTTTACCTTCTGCATCTCATTTGATATTTTGCATCTCATTAGGTATTTGTATAAATGTATACTACAACCTTTCTGCAATCGAGTGTATATATATATATATATATATACTGCGATACTATTTTTATGTTGTTGTTTATATTTTCAGTTTCTGGCGTTAGGTACTCATTATGGTGTGGTTCATGTCATGGATCACCTTGGCAACAACATAAGAAGCAAAGAATTCCCATCAGTATGTAGTACTATGAATAATTATTTAAAACAATTAGATCCTAGGCATGAATGGTCTACAAGCCCATGAGGCTGAAGGCTGATTATTTATTTATCTACTTCTTTGTATGTTTAAGAACTATGATAAATGGATGTTCAGAATGCTGACAACAACAACAACAACAACAACAACAACAAAAAAGATTTTAAAAAAACTAAAAAACATAAAGACTAACATCTAAAATTATTCATTGCTTTTGTATAGCATACAACTGCTGTAAACCAGATCAGCATTGACCAAAAGGGTGATTACGTTGCAAGCTGCTCTGATGATGGAAGGGTAAGGAGACACTTGCACTTGTATGAAAATTCATTCTACATCCATTGTCACGGGCCTTTTTGAAGGCAGGTGTATATATTGTATATTTTATCTTAGATTTAGACTTATATTTGCTTTGATATTCAACTTTTAAATATGTGATATTTTGTAATACATTATAGCCGCAATAGATTTTCACTTTTCATCTTATATTCTTTTTCATATACTAAGTGGAACAAGAGTAAGATCTCATAAAGACTCTTTCTCTATATCTAGTGCCCCATAATGTGTATAGCAATTGCCTAAATTCTCTAAACTCTGTCCTAGATGCCTTCTGTTCTCTTTGATTCAAAGAGGTTCAGGACATCAAAAACACCTGAACAATCATTGACAGATCATAATTTGTTTTTTTCCTTCTCATATATCAGGTTGTTATTAATGGATTATACAGTTCTGAGAATAATGTACAGACTAATTTTGACACTCCCATTAAGGTATGTATCAAATGGTTAAAAAATAATGCATTGTAGGTAGTCTGTTCCCCCTTTACTGGCTGCAAACTTTTGTCTCTGTTGATAAATGACCATAGATTTTGGGAGCAAGCGCTTTAGCTGTCTAGCTGTTAGAATAAAAGAAAGATGGATATATAATGTCCTATCAGCAGCAGAAATAGGTAGAGAATAAGTAAGTTGTATTATCCACTGGCTGAGGAAC